ACTGGCGCATTATGCGGGCAACAGCTAGCTAATACAAGCGTTAGTTGGCGTAAATGATACCGGCGGACTGTGAGTTAACTTAGTTAGCTTTGTTAGATCTACGTATAAGGCGCAGGTGGCGGATTTAATCTGATACTATTCAAACATTTGATAGCTTTACCTTTTGCGCGATTAAGCTTTGTCAGTTTAGTATTATACTATACGCCCAGATCCCATAATGCCTTATCTACCCCTATAAACCCACGTTTCGAATACAGTTTATATCAAAGTTTATTAACGGAGAGAGAGGGTGAGCTAGGGTTGTCTATTTGCAGCCCGTGGCAAATACGTTTAATTACAGATCATTCTCGCATAACTATAGCTGACACCCAGCCCAAACAAATATTTTATGTGAAGTGTACCGTTGCCTGCGTTAAGATGGCCACATTACCACGATCAAACACATTAGGTTTAATCAAATCAAATCATCTATTCATGCATGCGCACATGTCATTTTGTATACTTTCAAATGCATGCACAGATACATCTTAGAACAGCTTAACATTTCTTAAGTACAGTACAGTTTATTTATTTATTTATCAAAGAGCAACTGCCCAATTAAAGTACAACATAGAACATCTAATGTAAACCTAACCCTACTTCGACTTAGATATTTAACACTTAAAGCAATCACAAACACTTTACAATCCAGATCATTTCTGAATTGAAACGGATTTAATTAAAATTTAAATATATGGGGAAATTAACAGACAGGAATTTAATTGAAATTTGAATGTTTTCTGACTTCTGAAGAAATCCAACTTATTAGAATACTTGAAGATCTAGACAGGAGGGAACTACTAGCATAATTAGGACGAAATGATCACACGTGGAATGGTTGATTCAGTCTTGTTTGACGAGAAGGCACATGGAGATTAATATTTTTCAAAAGTTCTGGAGCAAAACAAAGAAAGTACAAAATATTATAAAATAGTGACAGGTCCCCCTAATTCCGTCTTACCTGAAGGGTTGAAATATTGAGAGAGCTTTCAATGACGGTAGAGATAATATCTTCAACCATAATGTTTTGTTTGAATGAAATGAATCTTATGATTTTTTTTGCACTCTCTCAATTGCCTGAATATGAACATTACAGTTCTGTGACCAAACACAAGAACAATACTCCAAATGGGGCCTCACCAAAGAACAAAACAACGTTTTAAATGACTGAATATTATGAAAATTCTTAGCACATCGTTTTATAAATCCCTAACTTGGGATACACTCTTTAGAGGACAACCTTTCATGGCATAAGTATGATCAACGGCTGAAGACCATTAAATGACATTTTTCCACATTAAGTTCCATTCTTTTCATTTGACACGAGAGATTTAATGAATTCAAATCATTTTGGATATTTAAACAGTCATTATTATATTTGTTTTTTATGAATAATTTCAAATGATCTGCAAACATTAGAAAACTAACAGACTTAAAACAGTATATAATATCATTCACGCATGTATTGAAAAGAAGAGGACCCAGATGGGAACCTTGAGGTGCTCCATTTGATTGAAAGCTTTGTATACGCACTATTTGTTTTCGATCAGTGATAAAAGATCCCCGCAAATTCCTAGACAATGTAGCTTATTATCAAGATCTCATGGTTAACCTTATCGAATGCTTTAGAAAAATCTGTATAAGCTACGTGAACAGAATAACGTTCCTCCAAGGATTCCAAAACGTAGTTTGTGAAAGTTAAAAGATTTAACTCTGTGGAGCGTTTTGAAAGAAATCCGAACTGTTGGCCTATAAAACTACTTTGCAAATTTGCGGATATTTATTCACACACTACGCTCTCAAATAACATTCCAATGCAACTCAGTTTACTGATAGGTCGATAATTTTTGACTTGTGAAGGATTTCCAGAATGAAGCTTGTTTTCCAAAATTCCGGAAAACTTCTACTTTTCAACGAAAGATTAAAAATATAAAATAGAGGTCTTGAAATCAGAAAGCTACAATGTTTGATCAACAACGGAGGTACACTATCAGGTCCAGGTCCTTTATTAGCGTCTAATTTGGAGTTTTTCATAGATGGCTGAGATTGGAATTTCATAGATAAACAAATTATTGACCACATAAGAAAGATTACTATTCTAAACAGTACTATTATCTACACTGTAAGTTTTAGAGAAGTAATCTGCAAACAAATTGATAGTTTGTAAACCAGATGAAATACTGGGATTATTATAATGTACTTATGAAGGTATGTAATGATAATCCTTACGGATATTAACAAATTTCCAAAAAAATTTCACGTTTTCTCTAATAGAAGATTCAGTTGTATTGACATAATCCAGATAACACTGTTTTTTTTTAGATTTTTACACTGAGTTCTGAGAATAGAAAAATCATGATAATCATTTAGCGAGTGAGATTTGATGTACTTCTTGTGTAGTTTCTTTTTTTCAATTATCGTTTGTTGTTTAAGTTCTGGAGAAAGCCAAATGGGAAATTTCTTTGCAGAGTACATCATGAAACATATTAAGCATATCACCAAGTAATGTATTCATAAGCAGTATGTCCCAATTAAAACTGGAGAGAAACGCTATCACTTCCTGCACATTTGTGGATTTAAAATCTCTGTAAAAACCACTACTAGTAAGCCCAGAGATATTTAGGCAAGTTTCATAATTTATTTTATTTTTATTTATTTTTTATTTGATTTTATTCATTACACCCTACAGTGAATACCAATTACAGGGTGAGGAAAAACAGAACATACATAGATATAAAAGACAATAATAAGTAATAGACTACAAAGTGTAAAAGATACATGCTGGTTACTTAATGGTATTTTTTACTACTGCAATTCTGCAGTTAAATATATCAATCCGGTTACTTGTAGAATTGTAATTCCTAAACATCACATGGAAAGAGGAATAATGTAAATAATTTGTCCGTACCGCAGGTAGATAAAACGTAACGTTTTGTCGGGATGTCAGCCTAGGTACGTTAAATGATAACGGACCCAAGAAAGCTAAATCATCACTAGCATTATTGATCAATTTAAATAAAAATCACTGACTGGCAAGTGCGCCTTGCTTCAATACTGCTGATTAGATGTTTTTCAAGTAAGGAATCATGAGGTATACCTATGGGCGGGTAAACGCCATCCACTTTCAGTGAGAAATATTTTTGAACACATTCAAGCCCACTTATATGAATAATATGATGCGGATTCAAAATTAGCAATGCACACTCAAGCTTCGACCTAACATATGCATAATACAGCAACTTCAAGGTGAAGTCACGGCAGTTTCTTACAATAAAGTTGAAGTCCTCTGAATAGAGGTACCTGACAGGGTATAGTCAAATAACAGAGGATTTTTCTTCAAAGTGTAACATATTACGTAACATTTATTGATGTTTAATGGTAGATTGCTTTGTGAGCACCAAGCATCCAACCTAACCAGCTTTGCTAAAAGTTGATCACAATCTGATTCATTAACTACACGACAAAACATCTTCAGATCATAAGCGTAAAGTAAACAATTCTCGCCAACAGCATTAAATATGTCATTCACAAATATGACGAACAATAAAGGCCCTAGATTACTGCCTTGTGGCACTCCGGAATTGGCTACATACTCCGACGATCTGATGGCATTAAACATCACAAATTGATTTCTTCCAGTGAGGTAGGACTTAAATAGTTGTATTAAAGACTCGGATAATCCATGAGATTTTAGCTTATGCAGTAGCATCCTGTGATCAACTCTGTCGAAAGCCTTGGAGAAGTCTGTGTAGATCATATCTGTTTGTAATCCTCCGTCAATGTTTTCTGCTATGGTCTGTGTGAAGTTCATCAGATTTGATACTGTAGAGCGCCCTTTCATGAAACCATGTAGCTGAACACATATTTTTCTGCTGACATGATGATATAGTCTGTTATATATTAATATCTCTAGAGAATTGATTCCCAAAGTGGTCTATATCGACCCCTAGGGGTCTATGACAACCTGCAAGGGGTCTACGTCAGCGAAAAAAAAAAAATTGGGGGTCCATGAAGTGCATATGGGGGTCCACGATAGTGGATCTCAACACATACACTGATAGTACCTATTTACTTACATCATACTATCTTATAATATCAAAACATACACATTATTTATAAAAGTACCTATAAAGTAAAAAATTTATTATATATGTTTATAAAATTGTGTAAGTTGTAGGATGTTAGTATTCGCTTTGTGGTCGCAATACATTTTGAACTTGTAAAAACCTGAGAGTCGCAGTCTCAGAGCTTCGCTACCTTGCACTGACTTGTTCAATTCGTCACTCTATAAATACGAATGTGGGACAAATACGTTTATTCGTTTCCTGAATCTTGAAAAGGAAAGTGCTAAGAAAATATTTTAAAAAATATAAACAGATAGTATATCACACAAATTATAGTGAGTCAGTGTTATTTTGTTTGAGAGTGCTGGAGAAGATTAAGTACATTATTTTTTATTAAATTTTAGTTTTGTACTCGTAGTTAGCAAAGATAGATAAATTACGCAATCATGACTTTCATTATTAGTAGTTAAATATTCAATCATGCAAAATTACACGAGTACTCCTCAATAGTTTCTTTTTGAAAGTTTTAGCAATCCGTAATATAATTACAGTGCAATCTCCGTAATTCGAGCTAATTGTTGCAAGAAGATGTTCGAGTTATGGAATGTTTTCGGAAAAATCAAAAAATATTTTTAATATACAGCTGCTGGATTTTCTGTCTTATTTAAATAATTTAATTTTGCCCACAGATGACTGATGCCATGTCCGAATCTAAAAAGAAATGTAGACAGTACAGTGTTGATTATTTGAAATTTGGCTTCATTCCATCGTTGCCGGACAAACAAGCAATGACGCTATGAAACCATCTAAACTGCAAGATCATCTGAGAAGGTGCCACCCTGATAAAACAGAGAAAGATTTGAAATACTTTCAAACACTCGAAGATAAATATTTCAGAAGAGACCTACACTGGACAGAATGTTCGCTTCGACGTCACAAAGAAATGATGATGGTTTGCGGGCGTCTTACAATATCTCGTTACTTATAGCAAAATCCGGAAAACCGCATACTATCGGAGAGAAGTTAGTTTTGCCAGCCGCTGAAGAGGTTTTAAAAACTATTTTACACAAACCTGCATCTGATATCATTAAAAGAATTCCCTTAAGCAACAATACTGTTGAAAGACGTATTGATGAAATGAGTTCTGATATTGAAAACTTCTTATGTAATTATTTGGAAACGACCCATTTTTCTATACAACTGGACGAGTCAACTTTACCTGATAATGCAGCACTATTATTGGCATATGTTCGTTTTATTATGAATCAAGAAATCTACGAAGAACTGCTCTTCGCAAGAACTTTGATAACCGACACTAAAGGTGAATCAATATTTCATGTTTTGAAGGATTACTTCATTGAAAAAGCAATTCCTTTATCAAATATAATATCAGTAGCTACAGAATACGCGGTTATTTGAGCAGATGTGTGCAAAATAATTTGCAATTACAAGGCGACAGTTTAAATTTGATTGACTGAAGCAAAATATTGGACGGGCGAATTTTCTCAGTTCCCCAATTTGTCACAGACAAGCTGCCAGGAAGACGACGTTTCAACTTACGTTCAACATTTAAATGCCCTCTATTCAGATTTTGAATCTAGGTTTGAGGATATTTTGACTATGGTAATACCACCGTGAATAATTAATCCATATGGTGACATAGAAGAAACGAATGTCATAATACAAGAGGAACTGACTGAACTAAGTACAAACGAAGAACTTAAGTTTCAGTTTAAAAACGGATATCAGCAATTCTGGCTGCAAAACAACATACCCGTTACTTATCCCGTATTATGGAATATAGCGAGGAAATTTTTAATTTTCTTTCCATCGTAATACCTAGTGGAAAGAGGGTTCAGCGCTGTTACCAATCTCCTAACGCAAAAAATAAACAGACTGGACATCATTAGCCGAGGAAATTTAAGATTAACCCTTACAAAATTGAGGCCAAATGTTGATAATTTATTATTAAAGCATCAGGTTCATCCTTCTCACTAAAAACGTTGACTTATTGCTTATTTTATTTTATTTATAGTTTATTTTATGTTTATTGGTGTCTGACCAATAAATGCCCGCATTGAGAATAAGTGCCCGCATTGATTTTTTTAAAGAACCCCCCTTTATAGAAAATATTTTTTTTTAAATTATTCTGAAAATTCAAGGATAGGTACACACTAAAATTCGTTAATTTTTTGCCTATTTTTAGATAACTTAAACGTATAAGAAGCGGAATTTAATCAAACTAACAGTGAAATTATTGTAGAGCATAAGTTTATGTTATAATTAGTAAAGGAACTCGCTTATTGTACGATTTTAAGTAAAAAACTTTTTTTTTATTGTTTTTCACTTTTTTTTATTTTATCCCTCTTATTTTTTTTCAATGCGGGCACTTATTCTCAATGCGGGTACTTATTGGTCAGATACCTATTTATTTAATGTTACTTATATTATACATAACAGATACAAAATTTTATTTTGGGTAGTTTTAATTTAAATTCAATTAATAAATGTATAAATTAACATGTGTTTTTACTTTAAGTTTTTAACACTAAACTTCACTACAGTTAGAAATTTACAGAAAATCAATATCAGGTAAGTTAGTAGGGGGTCTACCCAACACGGAAAAACATGGCAAGGGGTCTACGACACAAAAAAGTTGGGGGAACTCTGCTCTAGAGGTTTTGAAAAACTGCATAATATTGATATAGGTCTAAAATTTGTTGCATCATTCCTACTGCCGTTTTTGTGTATTGGACATACTTTAGACAACTTCCATAATTCTGGAATTTTGCAGGTGGTACACAAGTTGAATAAAACGGTAAAAGGATACGCCAACGCAGAGGCACAGTCACGCAAAATAAAAGCTGGTACATTATCCGGTCCCGTAGTCATCTTATGCTTTATTTACTTCAAGGCTAAGACAACTTCATCCTCCTCAAATCTAGTAATATTGAGTAGTTTTTAGCTCAAAATAGTTGCATTAAAATCAGATCGAGTATACCCTTCATGCCAATATCGCCTCTTTCACCGCTCCACTTTGTTCTACATGATGTCACTATATGTATAGTCATAACAACATGACTAATATAATTCGCTATTAAGCAAAACAACTACGACCGTACAAAAAGAAAGTTTCTATCGCGTGACTTTTCGCAATAAAGCCACAAGTATTTCCCACGATAGCTGGAGAAACAGGCAGCAAAGAAATAGATGGTACGTTGTAGGTGTTGATCGATATTTCATTCAGTTTGCTTTGTTCGCGTTTGCGGAGTCTATGCGTGCAACTATAAAAATAACCATTACGTCCTTGTGAAAGTTACAACAAGTTAGATGTTATGAGATTAGCGGCATTTTATGTAAGCAGTATTGGGCTAATCGGCAAAGAAATGGAGAGTGCAACTTTGAGAGGCAAACATTCACGAAAAGTTACGACAAGGTTGAGGTTATACCTCCTGATTTGGTGCAAAATTATTGATACGTAAATTATTATTATTATTGAACAACTAATTTGAGTTGAGTACAAGTACTATAAACTCAAACACATAATAGACAATAGTGTACAGACAAAATAAATATAACAATTTGACACTTCTGAAGTAGACATATACAGAATGGGAACAATATGTTAAGCACTGCGGTGACTATCATAATTGTTTTTGAAACTATTGACGAATGCCGAGTTCACTACATAAGATGGAAGACTGTTCCATGCATCGAAGACACGGTTTGAGATAAAGCGCTGACGAGTAGAGGTTCTAAAAGCTTCCTTTGGCAATTTGAAGTTATGACCTCTGAGATTGTTCGTTGCCAGACGAAACAGATGCGACATGTCCACACCAAACAAACTATGCAGTGCTCTGAAAGTGTTGATGAGATCTCCTCGCGTTCTTCTATCAGCAAAAGCAGGAAGGTTATATAACCCGAGGCGGTCTTCATAACTCGGCCTACGTGTGCCATAAGGCATACGTGTAGCACGACGCTGAACGGCCTCTAATAAGCTGCTATCGCGAACAAGGTTTGAATCCCATACCGGAGCAGCAAACTCCAGTAGGGGTCGTACGAAGGTTGTGTACAAGAAGGAGGAGGTACTAACGGTGCAACCGCTAAATGATCTTTCCATCATATATAGCAACCGCTTTGCCTTAGAGGTTATGTCCTGAATGTGCTCCGACCAGGTGAGCCGGTCATTAACTGTCAGATCAAGATCTGTGTGAAGAAAAACAGTCTCTAAGGCATGTTTGCCAATCTTATATGTTAAGTTAGGATTATTCTTTCCCAGGTGGAGAACGTAGCATTTCGAGAGATTTAAAGGCAGGAGCCAAAGTTCTGACCACTTTCTGATCAGCTTGAGGTCTTCTTGAAGCACAGATGAGTTCATGGCAGTGTTATAGGCTTTAGTATGATCTGCATAGATGAAACACATAGAAGAAAGTCGGGTGGGAAGGTCGCTTGTATAAAGATGAAAAAGTATTGGCCCTAGCACAGATCCTTGTGGAACTTCACTAGTAACACGACGGCTGGAAGAATAGGCGTCTCCAACACGGACGGAAAAAGATCTATCTAACAAAAACGCTTCAATCCATAGCAACAAATTTCCACTGATTCCGAGATGTTCAAGCTTGTGCAAGAGCCTTTTGTGCGTACTCGATCGAAAGCTCTGGAAAAATCCAAATAAATCACGTCGACCGGTTCATTTGCGTCTAAAGATCTGGTCCAATTGTCGATGCAGTGTAACATGATGGTGATAGTTGATCTACCACGAATAAAACCATGTTGGTTGCTAGGCAGCAGGTTGTCCTTGAACGCGAATGTCATAAGTTGTTCTTGGACGATCTTTTCGGCTATTTTCGCAGCTATAGACACAAGACACCAAATCTTTATGAGAAAGAAGTACAAGAGTTTTTTTACAATTAGTTACTATCGCAGTTATGACGTATGTAAAGTTCGCGTCCATCAGTGCACGCATCATGAGACCAACCATTACACGATAAGCATTTCACCCATTCTTCATTTGGCGCACTGTTAGAAAATGGTTCAAGACAAATCAAGCAAAAACATTCTTCTCCATCAGTTTCATTATCTAAACAGGACTTTCGTTTTTCAATTTTTTCAGATTTCTAAATTTTTTTTCTGAATCAAAAACGTCTCTTTTCACTGTTTCCTTGTTACTCTTTTTCTTGTTCCAGCTTTTATTTTTCTCTTTCTCTAATTCGTCTTTTACTGAAGTGTCAGTGAGACCCAAAATACCTAAATAAAAAGTTTTTCGCTTTCAAATTTTAAGACGCGTCAAGACCTGTATGCCAATATCGCCGAGGACCGAGCACCGAGCGACCAATCAGATATCGTACTTCGCATTTGATCTGTACGGATCTGTATAACTTGCAGCACATGCTTATGCTTAAATCGCGCATTTGATTTTGTAGAGAGAGAGAAAAGCAAGCGCGCGCGGCTTGTGTCGAAGTAGTGCACAGACCCTTGTCAAGTGGCCCATGAATAATGTTACGCTACGGTCGCGACGAAAATGACAAGTATACAATTGGTCGATTATAATGCTTTCTCTGTACAAAACAGACTCGACGCCGTGTTTTGCGGGGCAGCGTTGCCGATATTGATTCTATTTGTGTGATAACATGGAAAATCAATAATGATCAAATTACTGCTGCGTTTTTCTGTTAAGACAAAAGTTTTGGCAGTTCTGAAGCTCTGCAGAACTTAAAGGCCAGCCGCCCCTGCTTTAATGTGTGCTAAGCGTAATCCTTTATGAACTGGGCGTTGCGTGGGACGTACAGAGTCAACCTACTTGATGCCATTTTTTTCCATGGACTTGCAACATTATGTTATTATGAGGTTCTATAACAATTGAAAGATTGTCATCTTACTATGTTTTGTAAGCAACAAACATTGAGTTTTTGTTTTATACTGCCCATCCCAACATGAAATCCATTTGAGTTATCAAAAATGCGCAGAGACCTTGAGTTTTTATAGCTTTACAAAGTACTTTTTATGGACGCTAGTAAAAAAAATGTTTATTGTCTGCTTTCGTCTAAATAAAAAAGTTTGACAGCAAAAACAAAAATAATATCAATAAGCGAGTCTCCCAAACTGACCCAATTCGTGTTTTATTGTGAAAGTTTAGGGCATTTCATATAAAGAAGTTCCAGAGACGTAATGTATATTATTTGTTGTTTTGGCTTGCAAAATCCGTTGGCAGGAAAAGACAAAAGGTTTGGAAAGCTGTCACGCAATTTGCTTACCACAAATGCAGTTTATTTATTTATTTATTTATTTATTTATATACAGTTTGGGGTGTTAACAGGTAAACCCAACACACACCCTCAGTGAACTAAAACTAAACTTACATAAAATATCGTATACATATACATATATTACATTATTGAATACTTCAATATTAATATTTT